AATACATAAATATTTTTAAAAATTTAAAGTTTATTTTATTTTTAATTTATTAAATACTAATTTTATTAACCAAAATAATTTTTAATTACAAATAATAAAATTTTATCTTAAATCAAATCATATTTTTATTTTTTTAATTAATTAGATAATTAATTAAAATATTTTCTGTAAGATATTTCTTCCTTTTATTTATTTTTTTTGGTTGGAAAATAGAGTTAAAAATCCAAAAGAACATATGAAAATAACCTAGCAAAAAAGCCCAAAGCATCCAAGCTAAGATAAGGCCAAACAACAGAATGGGCCTTATCAAAATGAAAGAAAGGCAAACAATCTTCTAAGCCAGCTTTGGCTAACATATCAACACTTTGGTTAGCCTATCTAGGAGAATAGTTAAATTTAACAAAATTGATGCTTTTTAGCAAAATTCTAATGTTATTAATAAATAGAAATAGGCTATTATTACAATTCTGGAACTCGAAAATCAAAGATACAACTTCTTTTGAATCATTTTCAATCCAAATAAAATCAAACCCTTTCTAAAAGGCAAGCTTGATCCCCTAAAAAATGCTCCACAACTCTACAGCTAAAGAGGAACATGGCTCAAGGATGTTCTAGAATCTAGCAACAAAGCCACCCTTAGAATCTCTGATCAAGTCACCATAGCCAGCTGCCAACCCAGATTTTGCAACTGATCCATCCATATTTAGTTTAAATTGACCTGAGGGGGAGGGGACCATTTTATCAGTGTGAGAGCACTCAAATAACTAGATTCGGCTTTACTGTTAAGCTTATTGCAAGAGGTAAAATAACCAAAATCACATAGAATTTTATTAATTAACACCTCGGGTAAAACAACAGTTATGAAAAATTCCATTGTTTTTATCTTTCTAAAGATGTCAAATGATAGCCCTAAACAGAATATTCCAATAAAGAAAGTTATTATGGTCAGTTTTTGATAGGTTAAGCTTCACCCACTCAGTAAGGCCTAAACTAAAAAAAAAACAAGCCCAATTATTTGGTAAGAAGAAAATTTCCAAATTTGCTTAGCATACCAATAATCTCTAAGAACATGGAGGATAGATTCAGGGGCATTGTAGCATACCAAAGAAAGTGAGCAATTTTAGAAGGACCATTCCATAACCAAATGAGTTTAAACACAATATTGGCAGCAACAAAATTAAAAGAAGTAGAAAGAGAATCATATGCAAATCTAATTGAAAACAACCCATTGCTATTATGGGTCTAATAGAACAAATCAAACCCCATAGAGAGATTAGGGAGTTTAATTTAATCAATATAATCATAGATAAAATCAGGTAGTAACTCCCTAATCCTGCCCCAGTCCCAGCTACTATGGGAAGAATAAACAAAAATTGGGTCATGAAAGTTTTCAATAGGAATAGTTTGTAAGGCATAATGGGATAAAGATTGAAGATTGGGAACCCAATTATCATTCTAGAACTTTGTAGATAGGCCATCCCTAATGATCTAGCCTAGCCCTTTGGAGAAAGGGTCTCACATAGAAAGCATATTTTTCCAAAAGTAAGAAACATTATGATGGATGTTAAGATTAGGGTTCTTTTCACTAGAAAATTTATATTTGCAGTTGACAACTTGAGCCCATAGATTATTAGGAGATGACGTCATTCTCCAAAAAAGTTTTCATTAAAAAAGCTTTGTTAAGTAGGTGGATATCTTTGAACCTCAGGCCCTCCTCACTCTTACGTCTACAAATTTTATCCCAACTAATAAGATGACACTTTCTACCCCTAAAGAGCACTAAATGTATCTTTTACATAGATTGTTCATCTCATTGCAAATAGAAATAGGAAGTAAGACAAATTGCATAAAGTAGAAGGGAATGCTCATAAGGCTGGACTGGGCTAAGGAAACTCTACCTGCAAGAGATAGAGAATTCATCTTCCAAATAGAAAATTTTTTCCTAAGTTTTTCTATTAAAAAATTATAGTCCTGCTTAGTAGGTTTGTGCAGACAAAGAGGGATCCCAAGATAGTTACCTAACTGACTGGAATGACTAATACCAAGGTTGTCACTAATCTCCTTAACTACATGAGGATTAGTATTCTTAGAACAAAATAAGGAGGATTTAACATTATTAATACTAAGTCCTGAGGCTTAATAGAATTCATTGAGGACATATTTGATAACCTGGGAATTGGGAATATCAGCTTTAGCTATCAGTATAATATCATATGCTAAAAATAGGTGGGAGATCCTAAGCCTTGAACCACTAGAAGCAAAAAAAGACCAATCTTTGCTAAGAATTTTGTCCTGATTAAATGAGTCAATCTCTTAATGCATAACATATATATATATATATATATATATATATATGGATATTAGATTCCCATGTTGAATGCTCCTCTTAGGTTTAAAAATCCTAGTCCTAGAGCCATTCCAATTTATATACATAGAGGAGGAAGAAATGCAATGAAAAATAAGCTCAGTAAGCTTTGGTTCCAACCTTATTTTTTGGAGAGAATCTTTAATAAAGCACCAATGCAGCTTACATAAGTCTTTTTCAGATCAAATTTAATAATCATGTAGCTAGTTTTTCCTTTTAAATTATTAAAAGAGTGAAACATATTAATTTACTAATTTATTAGCCAAGCCAAAATCATATTAATGCAAAAATTTGTAATGTTATTGTATAATATCTCTATCCTTATACATTTTAAATTGTTAAGACATTTGTATATTAACATTACCTTAGATCTTATATAATATAAACTTAATAAATTATATTTACTAATCTATCTAATATTTTGTTTTTTTCTCTTTAAATATTTCTCTTTTTATTAAATACAATTAATTTTATATTTTAAAAAATTTCAAGTCATGTTTCTAATTGTAATAAATTAAATAATTAAATATTTAATACCTAAATTTATTTTTCTATTTTATTATACAATATTTTACAATACTAATATATGATTTACATTGCTTTCAATTGACAAATAAGTGGTAAAAGATTCATGTATTGGAATTAAAATATATATTCAAATACTCTTACATAAATTAAAATACATTGTTTTAATTACTATTATTTTGTAATGCTTTATAATGTATGATTTTTTTTCGCCTTTTGTATTGTCTATCGTATGATAACACGTATAGTGGTACTATTTTGTATCTTAAAAGATATAATTTTATTTTTAAGAAAATAAAAATTTTAAAACAAATTATTTTAAAAACTTATATAGCAATTCCACAATTTTTTTTTATAAATTTACGTGGCTTTGATTTAGATTTATCTATTGCACTTAAAATACATAAGAGCGACATTTAACATGTCAAATCAAAATAGTTTTTAAAATGAAATTTTCTTTTTTTAAACAAATATCAATTAATATTTTATTAAATAACTATTTTTTCTTTTAACAAATAAAATGATAAAAATTGTTTAGTAGTTAAACATGTGTTTTTTAAAATAATAATAAATTTTTATAACAAATTTAAAGTAAAAATTGTTTAAACTGATATGGTGCTCATATTTTTTGTATACATAAATAATTCTAAAATCATTTTTTGTTTTAAAAATTATTTTTTTAAAATTTTATTTATGATTTTCTTAAAATAAATTTTAATGATGACTCTTATTATATATAAAATATATTTTATTTCTAATAAGATGTTTTTAAAAACTTTTGTTATCTAATAATAATAATAATAATAATACAATACGTGCTTTGCCTCTACTATGGTACTTTGTCATTGCAACGAGTGTACGACGGAATGCACGAAACTTTCATGTCAATGAAGACGGCCAGGGTTTCCGTGGAAGGAAGGTTCCAAGGAATTCCATTATGGCAAGGACACCCTTTGAGTGAAGAAGGCTCAGGACCATCCAGAAGATAAATGTTAATTGTACGTTGTACAATTTTTAAATAAACTAGTGAGATAAAAAACAGAAGAGAAGAGGAAAATAAAATAAGTAATGAAATGAAAAAAGATATAGAAAATTTTGTTATATAATTTTATTATAAATTTTATTGTAAAAATATTATAAATTAATAATCATTTTTTTAATCTTAACATTAAAGTTTCCATTACATCATTTACCTTCAAAGAAAAGATGCTCTCGTGAATGAAAATGAATTAAGAAGGATACATACTTGACAATTTAAGACATGAATATTGATTTTTTCATACTCATTTTATACCTATGTCCTTTTATATATATAGTTCTTAATTTTTCACAATCACTTTTTTTTTTATCTGCCACGTTATCTAGAATCCAGATTCTCTCTTACTTCTGGATAATCTAGCCTCGATAAATACAGCATTTCCTCTCTCATTTGTTTAATTGTTATCTCTCTTTAAATTAATTTATAAAATCAAATGTGAAAATTTAGTTGGAGGGAGGCTGCAGAGAAGACTACAGGAGAGAATTTGTATTATCTACATTTTTTACCTATTTGACTCTCACAAGAATCATTTCCCTCACATATAACATCTTCATTTTATAATTTGACCCATTTACATGGTTTTAAATAGTGGTGCAGTTCCAAAATGAGTGTGAATCATTGTTATATCTTTCGAACTTTAAGCTTTAGGAAGTGTTTTACAGTAGTAATTAATTGATAGTTTTTACTTTTTGAGTGACACCTCTATGTTCAAGCATACCAGCTTCAGTATTCTTCATGATCACACATTTTTTTATTGTTTAATTAAGAGTTTCTCTCGATGTAAATTATCTTCATGGTCGGTGTTTTATATTGCGATCTTTGATATTACAGTAAATTGTGGACAACAGTTGATGCAGCCGCAATTATAGTTGCAATACGGCTACGGTGACTCAAAAATCCTATATTTTGCAGTTCGTAATTTAAAACACTATTTATGGTATCCAGAACTAGCAGAAAGAAATCAAAGATTGTATAACTTCCACAAAGAGAGAGATTTACTGGCTAAAGCAAGCTTCTATCATTAATTTTGGTTCTTTTGAATTAACTTCACTGCTGTCAAATTTGTACAACTGTGGAAATTATTCCAATGACAGCTTTTTACAGTCAAAATACTGGAAATAAGCATCCACAGAAAGAAATGAAAATCTCAAATAAACTTAAAAAATTACACAAAACTAAATGTAAAAGACTTGAATCACTTTGTTTACATCCTTATAGCTAATGGCTATGGTACAATTTTATTTCTTTTATGTCCTCCAGAACAGCATCTAGTTTTAAAGAACTAGAACCATAGGCCATTATATATGCCATGAACCCACAAATCCTAAGGAGATACTGACCAAAAATAAAGCTAACAACTTCCTTGCTATGATTAGTCATCATTAATATTTAAACCGGTAACTAATAATCCCTGATCCATCTTTAACTTAATGATGACAGAGTAATCCAGTTCACTTTTCCCTTGTAGGATTACTGGCCCACTACTAATTACTTGATCATTTCCAGTGTTTCCTTCTTGCTAATCTTGGTCCCCTTTGAAAATATCTACCTGAAAAATTAAAAAATAAGAACTGATATAACTGTGCATGCACAGCATAGATAGAAGCCTTAATTATACCAAGATTAATGGTCATAAACTGATGTTGAGCTACATATAAATCTTCACAATCATTTTATATGTTTCCACATCGTAGTTTCAAATTTTAAACCAAACTGGTTCTGGAAAAGACATGGAAGTTTAGATCTCTTACTCATGAATGGCCTTGGGGAGACAACTTGTAAATATGCTCTAAAGAACTCCTTGTTCTCCTTTTGCAACTCTTTCCACACTGCATAAGGAACATAAATTCACATAACCATGTCGAGGAAGAAACACCGAGTGTAATATAACATAGACTTCACAACATAAGTGCTATATATTACACAAACTCACAGCGATGAAAGATTAGAACCTGTGACTGTAACAAGTGGTTTAATCCCTGCATGTTCTGCTAGTGCCTTTATGCACTGGTCTTGACTCATGTGAAAGAGCATGCATCTCTCTATGAGATTTTGAACCTGCATTTTACATGCATGAAGGTTATTTGGAGTTTATAACAATATAATCAATCATGGGAATGCTCTTTTAAGTAAACTAAGTGTTTGACATATATATAAAACAAAAGGGGGATAAAGTAAATTACCATCCTAATATAGCTATATGGGTGGCAATACAAACAAGGCAGTGGGTATTGGTGACTGTGATGCATTGTGTTAATGTAGCTAGTTGTGAAAAAAAAAAAAAAAAGAAATAGAAGAAAGGAAACAAACGGCTAAAGTACACAAGAGGGGAAGATATTTTGAGGGGGGTTTTATATAGTAGAGAGCATAAAAATGAGTGTCACATGGTGTTATCCACACATATCTAGAGTGAAGGGCCAAAATAGCTCAAGAAATCCAAATGATAGATTCACCTCATCTTTAAAGGGATAAGAGGTGTGGTGTTCCCCCATCTCCCACTCTTTTATTTTCTCTTTCTTTTCTGATTTTTCTTTAAAAGATTGAATTTTGTGTGCTGGTTACGACAAAAATGTGGACATGCCTATAGCCACTTAACCATCGACCTTGGCTTTGATAACGTAAATTAATACCTCATTTAGTGCCACATCTCAGGGACCCTACGCTCTTGAAATACCATGAATATGGAGTGGTCCCTTAATGCAGAAATGCCACTTACTTCCATGTATGCAATAGAGATTCAAATCACTGTCAACCGCAAAAATACAAAAGAAAAAAGCGTCAAGAATATTATCACCCCACCTCCTCCCCAGCTACCACTATTCACCAAAATTCATATGTAATAAAGTATCCATCATTGTATGCATATACTTTAGTATTTAATAATTAAAAGTTTTATTTTTAAATTGTTAAGATGTCCCACGGAATACTGCTCATAAGAGTTAAGTTAAGCGTAGTCCTTCTTCTATGAGTTAGCTTTTGTGAGTAAGTTAGGTCCAAATTTTTTAACATTTTATCAGAGTATATTCAATTTAAATGTGAAGCTATCTATAAAAGTTTTTTAACATGTTATCAGAGTATATTCAGTTTGAATGCGAGACTATCCATAAATGTTCAGTTCTGTTGGGTCCACCTATGCCTTATACAGATGTCTCGTCCTGTATATTTCACATTAGTTAGGAATAAAGTCAGAATACTCATTATAAGGACTAAAGTAGTCCTCCTCCTATAAACTAGTTTTTGAGAGTAAATTAGGCCCAAATTTTTTAAAATTTTTTTAACAAAATTTGAATTATTAATATAATTATTTTGAGTTTAATTAAAAATATAATATATATATATATATATATATAAATAATTTATTAATATAAAACGTTAATATACAAACATTATTTATTAGTTTAGGATTTTAAATTATTTACTAACAATTTAAATTTTATTAGACAAAGTTTATACTAACGAATATTATCCTAGCACTTAATAATTTTTTTTTAAAGTAAACGATACCTTTTTAGTGTGTTTATTTTATATGATTAACTTTTTTTTAATTTAAATAAATTTTATTATTTATAACTAAAAGGAATTTAAAAGATTTCAAAACAAATGCATATAAATCACTGCATTTCATTTTAATGAACTTTTAATTTTTTTTTAATTTTTTTGTTATTTAAGATATTTAGATAGAAATAATTTTATAAATTATAAATATGGTAGGTATGAAGAATATTTTATTAATTCCGTCAACCGTAGTTGATTGTAATAATAACCATATACAGTTGCAAATAATTAAATGACATCTTCTTTAGTTATTTTAATTTTTTTATTCTATTCTTTTTTTGCTATTAATTTTTTTAGAACTATATTAGTATAACAGGTAAATTAAAATGTGGCCAGAAATAAATTAATATGTTAGGACTAATTATTTCAAAGACAAATAAAAAGTAAAAAAAATATTTAAAAAGCATAGTTCATATAATAGGAGCATAATAATGATAATGTATTTAAATAGGATAAAGAAGTTAAAGAAAAATAACGAATTCAACATTTTTTTTTATATAAGACTAGGACATTAATAAAGAATGGGATAATGATAATTATAAATTGATAACAAATTATAAATTCAATTCACTTTATGAATTAAATATGATAATATATTAAATATTATTTTTTTTAACATGTGTAACAATATATAAACTAAAAAATTATATATGATTAGTTTTATTAAAAATTATAAATTTTAATGTAATTTAATACATTAATATTATTTAATATTATAATTTTTAATAAAATTTTATTACATATAACTTAAAGGTGTTCAAAATGATATTAAACTATTTTCAAATCGTAAATTGACAAAAAAAATCAATTCAACTAAAAATTAATCGAACTGAAAACTAAAAAATACATTTTATTTTACGATTTGATTTTATGTTTGGTTGTCATCACCAAAACTAAACCGAACTGCATAATAAATTTATATTGATTTTTATTATATTTTGATATAAGATTTATTTATTTTTACTCAATTTTATTATAATATTGTATAAATATATTGAGTCACTTTAAACTCTCATTTTTCTCTACAATAACTTATTATTTTATATATTTTTATCTTTTCAATTATCATTTCTTTTCTCTATTTTTTATTATTTTAATAGACTCATTTTAATTTTTGAGCTACTATCACTATATATTTAAAATTGAATTAAAATTTATATATTAATAAATAAAATTTTTAAAAATAAAAGAATTTAATAATATAAAAAAATGATTTTTCAAACTGGTATTTTATTATTCGATCTGGTTCAATTTTCAAACTATATTCAAATTGAACTAAACCAAATTATATATATATATATATATATATATATATATTTTGCTGTTTGAATGATTTTTTGAGTAAAAATTGAATTGAACAAACCGTAAATAACTCTAATATAACTTCCTGTTATTGAAAAAATTAAATAAAATATCAAAAAGAAAAGTAATGTATAGAGAATTTTCAACAAATAGAAGCTTCCCTGCCTAGACAAAGAATACAAAGATACAGGGTCTATTCAGTAAAATTAGCGAACATGATAGTTAGAAGTTAAAAAATTAGTAAAAATTAAAAATTTTAACTTAAAAAGTTAGCTAATTGAATTAAAAGATTTGCTAAAATTAACTACGGAATTAGATGTTAAATGTAAAATAACATAGAAGATATTAATTATTTTTAAATCAAAATTTAAAATTTGATAATTATATATTTTAAATAGATTTAAATACCTTTTAACTACCTCCAAATAGGATTAATATAAAAAACTACCTCATAATTTTTTTTTTTCATTTTAATGCCTAACTAATTTTTTTTTTCAATTTTATACCTGACGTTAACCTCCGTCAGTTAAATGATGATGTGGCTAATAATTTGTCACGTCACCATCAATCTCTTTCATCCACCTCACTATTAAACCACCACATCGAATTTCACATCATTATTTTTGAATTTAAAAAAATAAAAAAGTAAAACATAGAAATTTAAGCACGCAATGTGAAAATGTTGAAGAAGTAAGCTTAAACCACCATTGGACAGTTACTCAATCTTGATCTTCAAGTGAAATATTTTCAAATAGAAAGAAAAAAATCGTTGAACCCCTTATTTAACATTGTAGTTTGTTTCTCATCTTCATCTTCACCTTTGTTGTTTTTCATTTTCGAAACAAACATCAACGTTGTTGTTTTTTCCTTATTTCCCAAGCACCGTGGTTGTTACCAGAGGCAACGTTGTGGACATTGTCGACATTGTTAAAGGTAAGTGTTATTTGATTAGATTATTTGGGGTTAGGATTTTCTTTCATAAATTTTTGCTTTACCTGACATGAATATTTGTTCCTTTTTTTTATGTAGATGGCTTTTAATGCTATAATTCATTACGGCCCCGTCATGCACTATGTTAAGGACAAAGAAGTTGTTCCTATGAAGAATATTGATATGTACAGGTGGTCGTACTTTGAAGCACTTGAGATTTTAAAAGAAGACTAAGGTTACGGAGAGCACCCTATGAGGATATGATGGAAATTTGGTCCTTCTGACTTCAAGGAAATCAATTGTGATACTGTAGCCCTAGACATGGCTAATTTTGCCATGTGTAATAGTGTGGAGGTTGAAATATATGTTGTTTGTGAAGGACGCAATGAGGGTGTTGTTGGGAAAAAATTTTCCAGTAGTGAGGAGGAATCTCTAAACGAAATTCATTTAGATGAAAGTGAGGAGGATAGAGCTGGTGACATGGATGATAGATTTGATAGAGATGTTCTAGAATTTGGGCGAGTAAAAAGTAGAAGGAAGAAGTCATTTGCAAAGAAAGTGAATGAAGATGTTGAGGCTGAAGAGGTAAATGTTGCTCAGAGTATTCATCAGCCTGACAAAGTCAATGTTCGTGTATAAGTTGTTTGAATTTTTTAGGATGAAGATTTTATTGAAAAGTCGACACCTGAAGGAGACTTACCAAGTGCGCTTCAGAGTGATGGTCAGTCTAGAAGAAGGGTGACTGTTGGTGGTGGTATTGCAGGTGTTGGGGGTGGGGATGCTGATGTTGGGGATGGTGATGGTGCTATTGGGGGTGGGTATAATGATGATGATGTTGGGACTGCTACTGTTGTTGAGAAACCTGGAGGTGGGGAAAAAAAAAAAAAAGGCTGCTAGGAAGAGGCAATCAAAAAGAGTGAATATTTTTTGTCAAAGTAGTCAAGGTTTACACAATGCAGATAATTTTTAGAAGGCAAATACAAGTACATGATATTGATCATGGTTATGAAAGTGAAGAGCTGCTTAGTAATGACTCTGAGAAAGATGATTATAGAAGGAAATATTCCAGTTTTAATGCTGATGAATTGAATAAGGATCATAAATTGAAGTTAGGTTTGGAGTTTGGTTCCATCAAGGAGTTTAAGGACGCAATTCGAAAGTACAATGTGCTGAATGGAAAGGAAATCAGATTTGATTTGAATGACAAGACAAAGGTAAGGGCAAGATGTAGGCATTGTGCTGAATACTCTGTGTATGTTAGTAAAGTCAGCAATTCAGAGACTTATAAGCTGAACACTCTGTTTAACAAACACATATGTGGAAGGGTCTTCCACAATAAGAGTGCAAAGTTAGCTTGGGTTGCCAAGATTTTGATTAACAAGATGAAGGCTGGGACCACTGATATTACATTAAAGGATATTGTTGGAGAAATTATATCCAACTATTCCACTGGGATAACACTGTCAAGAGCATTCAGGGCTAAACATATAGCTAAAAGTGTGATTGATGGTAACATTGACAAACAGTATGGACTACTGTGGAGATATGCAGCTGAACTTAAACAAAGAAGTGTAGGCAATACTTGTGTGATTAGGGTTTTTAGATCTTCTTTGGAGATTTTGCCAAGGTTTAGGAGTTTCTACATGTGCCTTAAAGGTCCAAAATTAGCCTTTAAGAAGGCATGTCGACCATTAATAGGGGTGGATGATTGTCACTTAAAAAACAAATTTGGTGGCCAGCTTTTGATTTTTGTTAGGAGAGACCCAAATGCTCAACACCTTCCTTTGGCTTTTGGAGACTGAGACAAAAGATACTTGGAGATGGTTTTTAAATTTGCTCTGAGAAGATATTGGCTCCATTGAGGAAAACAAGTGGGTCTTTATGAGTGACCAACAAAAGGTAAGTGTCCATTTTTAGATGTTGGTTTATTTTGAGATGTTGGTTGGTTCATTTTCATTCAATATTTTTGCTGAGTTTCTGGTTCATTTTTTACAGGACTTGATGTAAGTGTTTGAAGAATTTTCTGTTCCTGTTGAGCATAGATTCTATTTGAGGCACTTATACAACAATTTTAAAAAGTTTGGAGGAGGACTGCAACTAAGAGATCTCATGATGGGTGTTGTCAAAGCAACATATGAACAACTTTGGAGGGCTTACATGCAGCAGATAAGAGATTTGAATGAGGCTACCTACTGGTAGCTATTTAATTTGGACAGGAGAGCATGGTGTAAGCATAAATTTTCAAGTTACCTAAAATGTGAGATACTAATGGATAATCTGAGTGAAGCATTTAACAGCACAATTCTGATTGTAAGGGATAAACCAATTATTACAATGTTTGAGTGGATAAGGATTTATTTGATGAATATATTTTCTAACTTTAAGGGGAAAGTTAGTGCATATAGGGGACAGATTATGTCTAAGCCTTTAAAAAGACTAGATAGAGAGGTTGAAAAGTCATAGAATTGCGTAGCAAGTTGGGGAGGAAAAAGAGACTTTGAAGTGAGCCATTTACACTCTGGTGAGAAATTTATGATAAACATCTATAAGAATTACTGCAATTGTAATTTCTAGGATTTAGTGGGCATTCCATGTGTAACACCTTAAATTTAATTTCAATTAAATAAAAATTTTGCAAATTCGAATAATCAATTTTCATAAAATACTTCTAAATAAGGGAAGTGTTACAAATTAATATTAAATGACTGCTACAAGACTAGTTCAGTTACAACAATTTCGAAATAAAAGCTAAGTTCTATAGCAGTCCATCCATCCCTTCACTGAGTCCAGTGCTGATTGTCTTGATTACCTGAAAAATGAATGTAAGGGTGAGTACTCTACACTACCCAAAGACACACAGTCAACATAGAGTCTCACCTCTAGTACATTTTCAATACATTAAGCAATTACAATCACAGACAACATTTCACATTCATAAGTATAATTAATAAACTCATGCATATGCACACCAGCCACACTCACTGTGGCACTGTGGCACTGTGATCACAAATTTCTACTATGAATGGTCGCCGGTTACCCTCACCTCACGGATACCACGTGGGCAGTCACGGGTCGCTCAGCAAAGGTAATGGTAAGAGATCTAGTCAGGAAGAGAGCGTGTGGCCTGTGGTGCACCCGTTCCACAGTTGGTGTCACCACCCCTCCTTCCCCAAGGTATTTCTACTGTTCTCATCTTTCATACCTCCAGTGTATTGCTAAACCATTCACAGCACATTACAACGGCGCTACACGCCCATTCACACATGTTCCATTCACGCATACAATAATCATGCTCACACACGGCGCACAGCCCACATTTCATTTCACAGCGCACGGCACGTAGCCTACAATTATCATTCATATTATACGGCCCTTGGGCCCACATTTTCACAATATTCATTCAAATATACGGCACAAGTGCCCATACCCATTTACAACACTCGGCATACAGGCCCTCATTTTATCACACAACATTTACACACAATCCACATCCATCAATTTTGGGTCAACACACATAATGTTCACGTATCACGGCACATGGCCCACATTACATTCCTCAGCAATTTCCTACCCTCTAATTCAGCCACAACACAATATTCAGCAAAATAACAATAATTCACGCACAAAAGAGTAGGATAGAGTCCCCCCTTACCTTAGATTGAAGACCCACACTCAGATTCGACCACGAACGTGCTCCTTACATAGATTGCAGCCTAAAACACATGGAAGAACTCCATGAGAACTCCAAACTGTCGCTCTCTCGCTACAGCGAGACGTCTCTCACTACAACGAGAAGGTGACAGTTTCAGTCTTTCCTCCCAGGGCCCTCTCGCTGCAACGAGAACAACTCAGTATTACACCCTGCACTTAGGCACTTAGCCTATTTTCAGCCCAACCAGTTCAATCCAATCAATCATACATCCACACACACACACACACACGCACACACACACACACATATATATATATATATATATATATATGCATTTAAATTTATATAAATAACAATACTTAATACAAAAATTTGGGGCGTTACGCCATGCAAGCATGTTGTGGTTGACTTACAATTCAAAAAATTGAACTCATGAACTATGTTGATGACCATTATTCTCGTGATACATATGTCATGTGTTATGCACACAAGATTTCCACCACAAATGGCCAGGACATGTGGCCTAAAACTAAATTTGATGAGATCTTACACCCCAAAAATAAAAAGGGTCCTAGAAGACCTAAAGAATTGAGAAGAAGGGAACCTGATGATATTAATCCAAATTTGACAAGATTAACAAAAGATATTGGTAAGTATAAATGTAAAAGATATGGTGTACAAGGTCATAACATAAGAATATGTCCACAGCAAACACCACCACAACCAACAAACACTGAAACAATTGAGGCAAATGTTGAAAGCTCGATACCTTCTCCACCTATAGTAGTAGATGCACAATCATCTTTACATGTTCGGAAAAGGGTATATGTATTAACCTCATCATTTCATGACTTTAGTAAAATTGCTAATGATTTACCTTTACAAGCAGAAATGGTGCCAACAATACCACGTATGAGACCAACCAGAGGATCTAGTACAAGAGTACAGGGAATATCTACTGTTGTAGAAATAAATCAAGCCATTGCTACAGATCTGAATGAAGGGCCAACTCCACCAAATTAACTAATCAAATTTGAATGAAGACTTAAATTTTAAATTATTAAATTAATCATTTATTTAATAAAGGATGAATATTTAAAGAATGAAAAATATGCTTAAGTTAATTAGTAAAGATAATGAAATAAAGTTAGAACATGTGTTAATTTTAAAAAATTTATTTTTGTATTAGACTCAAGGTAATATTAATATGTAAAAGTCTCAACACTTTATAACATATAAAAGTAGAATCGATACATGTTAATATAGTTAATCACTATATTAATTAAGTGAAATAATTATAGTTTAATAAAATATTTAATATTTAAAAAAACATGTAAGAAAATATATTTTAATTAACCATAAAAATATAAGAAATATATATTAATTAATTAAAAAAATTCATATAATTACATTTAAAATAAACTTAAATTATTTATAAAATGAAGAGAAAAAATTATTTTTTTAATAATTACATAATTTATAAAATTTAAAAAAAATAATTTTTAAATATATTGATAGTATATAAAAGCTAATTAATATATATATATATATATATATATATTATCAATTTATAATATATAACGATAGAATCATTACACATTTATATTATAAACTTTTGTATAATAAAATAATTTTAATTAAAAATTAAATACTTAAATTAAAAATATTTAATCAAATATATTTTAATTAATTAATAAAATAACTATATAACTAATTAAAGTTAAAATACAATAAATTTATACCATACAGAACTTAATGCAAGGATAAGTTATAAGCTTTCATAATTTATAATATATATATATATATTAGCGTTATAAATTATTACATGAGTTTTATTATTTAATAAAAAAAATTCAGAAAAAAAAATGCATAAAAAAGAACATTAAATAATATCTACAGATACTAAAATAATATTAATGTTTATATTAAAATTAATTACAATCACAATAAAATAAATAATAAATAGAAATGAAAATTTCATTTATTCTAATTTTATTGTTTATGGTTTTTTTTATCCTAACAATATTATAAATTAATTGAAAAATAAATTAAAATATTTGACTGAGGTTACTTTCAATTTGTAGAGAAAGCTCGAGGAATAATATTACATATGAAATGATGAATTCTGAAACCAATGTCCTCTTCATCAATGGCTAATGTTCCCACCCGTAGAGCGCCTCTTCATCTATGGATTTCCCAACCCCTCCATTTCCTTCTTTGATTCCATTCTCCCAAACCTCAAACACTCACTCCCCAATACTTTCTCCCTCTTGCTGGCACCATCACTATTCACCCCAACCCATCGTCAGCTATGTCCCTGGTAACACTGATCCCTTCACTGTAGCTGAATCCAACGCTAATTTCAACCGTTCGTATTCCAACCTTTGTGAAGTCAAAGAACGCCAACACTTGATACCCCCACTTAACCATTAATGGGAAACTACAAAAACAAAACTATTTCACTTGACTGGGCGACGTCAAAGTGAAGAATGGGCTGCATACTGTATTCACCTCACCTAAGCTTACACTTCAAAGTAAATTCATATATCACTAAGGTTCAGTGTTGCAGATGCAATTTTGTGATAGTGAATTTTGGTCCGTTTGGAACTGATATTTTGATGGGTGTGGATCTAGTAGGGGTCTCTATTTATCCTCATTTTTATTTCATTGTATTTTCTTATACATTTTGATTACACGAAAAAAATAAGAGTGAAATGAAAAAAAATACAAAATAAGGATATTATATGATCATAGAAAGAACAACATAATACTCTCAAAACGTTTGAAGCTTAGCATCATATAAAGAATGAAAGAAACATTTACTTGATTTTAAGACAATGAGATTAAATGCTCGATTGTTATTTTTTTTGCTCCTGACTTCCTTTCTTCTTCTGAAACTCTTCTCCAGTTCTTTAATCTTTTCTCTCCGATCAATATTTGTCTTTGCTTTTTACTTATTTTTGAAACTTTGCTGATTTCTTTCTCTCTCTACCCTACTACTCTGGTCTACTCTTGAGTCTCTCCCTAAGTTAGCTTTTAGCCTGTAGAGGTATGAAATTGAATCTTGACTTTCCTTATTTTGTCAAAGCCAACTTTTACTTATAGAAAACACATTGTTCCTGTTTTTTCTTTTTCAAAACCAAGTTTAGG